AATACACAAGATTATCATAAATGGTATTCTTTTTAAGGGGGGGGGGTGTGTGTGAGAACCATAGGAATGGATAGAAACTCTCCATCCTCATATCTTCGAAAACGTATCTGGGGAAGAAAGAGATGCATGTACTCCTTTGAATTTTGCCTGTTAATTTCTTGTGCTGGTTGTGGTGCAGAGCAGTGGTGTTGGGGGTAGTAGTAGCAGTAACAGCAACAGCATAATTTGGTAGCAGTTGTTTTGGTGGGGGTGGTGGTGGTGGTGGTGGTAAGACGTCCTCGTCATACCATGGAAAATCTACCCTGTTGTATGGTCCGTTTACAGCAAAGAATAAATCCTACATTTTGTATTGATGTTTGTTTCTGTTTTGTTATGTTTTTGTTTTTAGGAGGGGGGTTGTTGTTGTTTTGTTTGGTTGTTTTTTTACCCCTCCCCACTCCCTCGCCTCACAGGATGTGTTTGTTTTGTTGATTAGTGCCACTTTTCCCCGCACACATAAATATACTTCACTCAAATTAATGCAAAACATTAAGACAGTAAAACTCATTGACAGAAGAAAAAAGAAAAACAAAAAAACAAAAAACAAACAAACAACAACGAGACATCACCCGTTTGGTGGAGTGCGAAATAAAAGATTAATAGAAGTGTCCCATTAGAATGCGTTATGGGAAATAGAAAGTAGAAAGACTAGGTCTTCACTGCTTCAGGGCTTCAGGGTCGGCTAAGAGTGGGCAAGCGTGTATATTTAGCAAAATGTGCAGACTGCAGACACGTATGCCTTATGAAAGATTTAAAAAACCTAATGTATTCATCACACAGGACTGAAGCAGTACAGATGATGTTTTATTGATGAATGATAACGCTGGAGAACAGCAGATGGCGAAGGCATAATAAAATTTAATAAGCCCGAGCGTGCCCCAGGCTTGAATCACAAAACACGTGAGGTCATAAAAGAGGGATTTACGTGTCATCCCTGCTTTGTTCTTTGATGTTCTCTTTGTACGAGTTGTGGATTTTCACGAGGGGAATTTTTTTTCCACTGAGAGTTTCAGTACTTTTAAATTAATAAACTGCTATCATTATTGACCCTAATTGATAGCGTAGTAATTATTAGCGACTGTAGATAGAGATAGTCTATCAGATGGTATGTGGATTGAAGGGGACTACGAATATATTATGATATTTAAAAACTGTCTCCGGTACAAACGATTTTTTTCCCCCAATTGCTCTCCTTACTTTAAAACTCACGCGTATCTAGGCCTGTAACAGCATCCTTCAAAACAGTGTCACTGTCCAGGCTTACAATTCTCAGCTTAAAGTGAAGGACGCCTTCATAAAAGATTAGACAATTAAGTGAAGACACATAATCTCCTAAACACATAACACAATGCAGCTGTATTGTCTAGATACTAGTCCTCTTTCCTACCACCCATCTGCTTTACTCTAATCGTCCGTGAACAAGATCCATACTGGAAATAACATAATATTAAGTGTCTGGAAAGAAGTTAAAACCCACAACAACAAAAACAGAACAAAAAAAAATAAGTGTGTGTGGTGGAGGCAGGCAAATGAATGCTCTGGAAATTATAAAAGAAAAGCACATGTTTCTTTATTATATGAAGGAAGGTGTTTGCGTATTTCATCGTCATTGCCTTTCTCTTTCTGGATCAGGTTATAAGCCTGCCATGAGCAAACACTTTCCACCTCTCTTCCTATCCCGAGCTAGCTTCCCGATATAATTCCACGTCTTCCCACTTTTCTGCCCGTCATTCTGTGACTCCTCTCCAGGTTCCAGGTGTCCTTCCCCTTTATCTTTTACCATGTTTGTTTATTTGGCTTAAACCAAATACGTTGAGTCAAAATCCTAGGATGTTGACTCTTGATTATGCACACACAACAGGCTTATCAAAAACGTTTCTTAAACTCTGCTTCCAGGTGGGCATCAACTACCAGCCTCCTACAGCGGTGCCCGGCGGAGACCTGGCTAAGGTTCAGCGGGCTGTGTGCATGTTGAGCAACACTACAGCTATCGCTGAAGCCTGGGCCAGACTGGACCACAAGTTTGACCTCATGTATGCTAAGAGGGCTTTCGTGCACTGGTGAGTAACAGCTGTTGGTGCTGCTGCTGTTGCTGTCGCTAGAGCTGCTGTTGTAGGTGGTGGTTGTAGTGATGGTGGTTGTGGTGATTTTTTTAGTGATGGTGGTAGTTGTGGTTCTGTTGCTGCTGTTGCTGTTGTTGTGTTGTTGTTGTTGTTATTGCCGCACATAAAGTTGGTGGTGGATGTGGTGACCCAGTTGTATCATCCTAGACAAGACTAAAGTGAAGACAACCTTAGTTTACAGCCCCAAATTCTCGAACGTTGGCTGATTGACTGAGGGTTTGTTTCAGTAAGATTACTTTCCACCCTCTGTGCTCTAACCTACAGAAGATACGATGAGCAACCAGGAGAAGCGGCCTTACTATTGAAAGTGAAGTAACGTCCATATAACTGACCATACAACAAAGTCTTACTTGTGTGTGGCTAACCCAGAACAAAGGCCGACCATTCTCAACAGTCTACTAAACTAAGAAATCGAGTTTCAGTTCAAATGTACGTCGTATAGATCTAGTTTAGCTGGAGCTGCACGTGTATTTGTTTACTTCTCGTTTTTCCCCTGCGCATGGCAGTCGTGCAAGAGATGGTCTAGATGAGGCACGACCGGCTACAGTTTCTCTAGTCTTTACCAGTCTTCTACTATTACTATTGAAGATAGCAATCGGTGCTTTCCCGCTATACCGCCAGCCCCGCTGTACCGCCGACTTCAAGATAGGCGGTATCGGGGTTTGATAATGCAAATCTATGTTCTGCGTGGGTTTGCTTAGGCTACGGTACAGTCGGCTACGAACTTGGCCAACCCTGAAAATCTCAGCTTTCCACTCCGAGCCCAGTCTGACAACGCATTCCCCGGCCCTTTACTGATGAATGTTTTAGTTCTCATTCCAGAAACCGCGGTTGTTGTTTGTTTGTTTTTCCTGTCCACAAGTTTTGCTGTCTAAACGTATTGCATTACTTTGGATGACGTATGTTCGTGTGCGGCGTGAAATGCGGCACTAATCAACAAAATAATCATTATAACCCTGTGAGGGAAAACAAAATAAAAAGCAAAAACACCATTGCTCAGTGTAGGATATATTACGTGTACATTGCTATATGCTGCGAGTCATACAACAGTGTGAACTCTCTAGGGTGACGAGGATGTTTTTCTACAACCTACCTCAAACCAAAGAAAGAAAAAAAAAATTCATTTATTATTATCAACATCATTATGTATTACTTCTACTACTGCTGCTGCTGCTGCTACTACTGCTGCTGCTGCTGTTACTACTATTTCTGCTACTAATACAACTGCCACTGCTACTACTACTACCATTAAATGTACTATTACTACTACTACTGCTACTGCTTCTACTACTACTACTTCTAATGGTGCTGCTGTTACAATTGCGACTACCACCACTACTACTCTGTACCACCACCTGTACTAGCAGATAACAAGCAAAACCCCAAGTAGGCCTACACGATATAATACCTCTTCCTCCCCTGTTGTTCCAGGTACGTGGGTGAGGGCATGGAAGAGGGCGAGTTTTCCGAGGCCAGAGAGGATCTGGCTGCCCTGGAGAAGGACTACGAGGAGGTGGGCGTCGACTCGACAGAGGCGGAACTGGACGAGGGAGAGGAAGAATACTAGACTAGATAGAAGCCACGTCACTGAGTCGCTGCTTTCGTGATTGCCGAGCATGAATTGATACCAAATTATATTACCAGGATTTAAATAAACGTAAAGCAACTACTCTTTGAGTTTGAGTGAAGAGAGGCACATCGATACGATAACAAACGTGGCATTCAGTGCAAGGAAAAAGGAAGACAGATTGTGGGCAAGAACAATTACTACGGGCAAGAAAATCACAATCATGTAGATGTAATAGCAATATACCCTTGGTGCCACATCACTGTTTTTGTGATAAGTGGAGATTAATTAGTACCAAATATGAGACTATGTAATGTTGATGCTTGTGTACATGAGCGTGTGTATGTTCTTGAGAAAGAGACAGACTGGAGCTAAGAGCAATTATAAATGATACAAAAAACAGCCTTTAAAATATGATGCCAGATGTACCGGTAGTGAAATAAAGTGGCTGGCGCAGGGAAGCATTTTATTCTGTCCCATGATACCCATACACAGACTGATGCAAAATAGTCCGTTTTTCAGTCTGTATTTTTATAGTCCCCGATCACAAAAAGGATGTTGAATAAAATCAACACTGATACATGTATCACACTGCCACTTGTTTGTTGCTTCGTCTTTGCTATCAAATGCTGTCTTGGTTATTTTTTTCTCTGGATTTTGGAATTTATTAATATTTTATTAATTTTTTTTTTTTGGGGTGGGAGAGGCAAACTTCTTTCGGTTTCATCTCAATCTCAGTCCTCGGGTAACAAAAAAAATTCAAAAGAAAAAGGAGTAGGCCTACTAGGCAGAGAAACCAAATTTAACAGAAAAAAACCCAACCAGCTAAAGATCTTGTCATATTCATTATCCCACTTAACCATAGGGCATTGGTGACATACGGGTAGTTTGCTGTACGAGTCGGATTTAACTGGACCTCCACATTTTCACTCACTTTTACCAAAATTACATTGACCTTCTCTTAGTCTAAAGGTATGGAAAATGCAATAGAATTTCAAATTAGATCTACTGACTGTGACTTTCACTCTCTTTTTGTTTCTTTGGTAAGTGTTTTACGGCGCTCGCAACAGCGTCAGGTCATATGAGCCCATGGGACACATTAAACATTTTCAGTTAGCAAGTAATTTTGAATTTTGCCCAGGTGGCAACCACAGCCTACTCATAGATTTTGGACCACAAAGGGACCTTTAACGTGCACAACTTGCACATGGGAACTCCGAGATTTTTCACCCTTATCCGAGAAAGCTAGGTGTTATTGGGGATGCCCACTGACACGATCAGTTCGGTTCGGTAGGCGGGGCTAGCCAGATTGAAGGCGCAAAAAACGACCATCGTGGCACAAACTGATCGCCCGACTCGCAGCCTAAAAAACAAACGCGTTTTTTTTTCCGGCCCCGAATCGGGCGATGGGTCTGTCGATCCACCAATGAGCACTCGGTAAAAGATCTTACCTGCCATACATAAGATCAGGGGTGTGGCTGAAAGACAGCAGTGCGAAGGAGCCAAGGAGTAGTAGTAGAAAGGCTTCAGAGTCAGGAGCCCAGGGAGGGGACAAAGGAGATGAGGGGATGGGGGCAGAAAGTGGAGACGAAAGCAGACAACAGAACGTTGTAAGAGAGCAGGAAAGGTGGTTTGGAAAAAAAATTTGCAGAAAAACTCTTTCGCCGTCCAGATTCGAACCCGGGACCTATTGAATAAGAGGTGAACACTGTAACCTCTCAACCACAAGAGCCCCTGACGTTGTCTCTACGAGCCTGGAACAAAACCAGATATACTTTGGTAGCAGAGCCAAGCACCATCAAAATGGTTCACAACAGTAACATACTACACTATTTTTGGCAGCACACCCTTGTCCTTCCACTTAGTTTAATTTTAGTAAGGTTTTATGGCGCTCGCAACTGCATAGGGTCATATGAGTATGAGCGCCAAGGGGTGGATGTCATCAGAGAAGTCCAAACGGGGAATCAGGCTTACTCTACTAACCTCTGTCGCCTCAACAGCACAAAGTCTGCTTCGACTATCAAGGCATCCCGGAAATAGCAGTACATACATAAGAGAGTGACAAAAATACACAGGAAGTGGAGGATAGTGACCATAGTAAGGATGAGGAAAGACAAAAACAGCAGTTCCCCCTATGTTGTTATGAGCATGACATTGATAAATCATGCTCAAGTAAGTTAACAAATTAATGACACAAAACACAGGGGGTATGAACATCATGAGAACAAGACAATTCATTTTATTTCACTATACAGAAATGCATAATAATATCGTCATCATCATCGTCAGGTAGACACACTTGGTCAGCTCTCTTGTACTGCCACCCTGCGCACACCCACGCTCACTGGCGTCCTCTCAGCCTCTCACGAGTCACACAGACACTCAGTTACACACAGTCACTCCACAAGCAATGGTTGTGTGAAAGGGGCAAAACTGTGTGTCACCCCTTCCCCCCACTTCCCACCCATTCCCATCTTGTACAACCCAACCACTACTGGCAAGACTACTGCAAGTTTTTCTGCTTAACTTCACAGAAAATAGCTTATGATAGTCTTGCAAGCTATAGTCGATATTAGGTACATAGCTATGGGATTTTTTGCCCCTCTCACACAACACAAAGAAATGGAATCAATCACACACACACACACACATACACACACACACAAACACACACACACCCAAGTGTGCGCAGTCACATACATGCCGCAAGGTCATTTTATATACATGTTGGAAACACGCACACCGATACGTATATACATGAATTAACTCATTGCAACACACGAACCCAAATTTGCAGATACATACATGCCACACGCGTACATGAGAGAAAAAAACCAAAAAACATGCGCAAGCAGCATTAACGAACTCCTCAAAGAGAAGTGCTCACGCATAAATTTTACAGTGAATTTTTTAAAGTTTCGCAGCTTGCAGAAAACAAACATAACCATTCCAGCTGCACCTGTCCCGTCCTCACAACTCAACACTTGCCTTTCATCTAAAAAACAGCTCATGTTCTCAAACAGAACCACATACACTCTCCACTCTATTCCTGCTCCTTCAGGTTGCTGCAAGAAGATGTTTTGCTTTTTTTAGTTAGTTTGGACTGATTTTTTTTTTTACACATCTTTTCCTCACCAAGGGATCAGGCCTGTGTACAACGAAACACTTCAAAACTTGAGATGCATTTATTTTGTAAAATGAGAGAAAAGAAAAGAAACAAAAATAAAGCATGAAATAAACAGAAGGTCAAAGTCAGGCTCCTTGCTCCAAAACATCTACCAAAAAAGTGACAAAAATGTTTACAAAGTGATAAGGCATTGCTGTCTCAAATTTGTGGCAAAGTAAACAAAACATGGCTAAACATCCAGCAATGGGGGGGGGGGGGAGAGCGAGCACAGACCTCATAACTCGGAGAGTTTCCAAGTTTGACAAGGTCAGGAAAAAGGAAGTACCCTCTTGACACTTTCAATCAGCTACAGAGTGGGTCCTTCCCTTTTCAGCAAACTGACTAAACTGACTTACAAATTTGACAACATTCATTTCACATTATAGGTTCTACTAGTGTTGTCAGACAGAGATAAATAAATAAGTTTGTCAGACAAAATGAATGAGCTCACGATGATACACCCGTTTTTTCAGGCTCCACTTTTCGGGATGCTTTGATTTAACAAACAAAAAACTCACAAAATAAAGGAGGGGGGGGTGGGGGACACTGTATTGCCCTACAGTGCACATCACCTGCACAACTTGGGCCATGCAAGACCAGGGGAAAAAGGTTTCTAACGCCACTTGGACAACACACAGACTTGATTCATTTGGCAAGAAAAGTAATACAAAAGATTTAGAGAACTAATTACTTACATCCCATAGAGAATACTTCCGGCACCGTGTCAATTGTTAAGATTTCTTTTTTATCCCCTTTTATCCCAGCAATGGTTAATTATGGTAGGTGAAAGATGTTCCATTACCAGTAATGTTTCTATACATAACAATATCTGCAACAATGTACCATTGGGGCCACAGCCAAAAACAACAAAATACCAATGAGCAACAGAAAAGCCCCATGCAAAATGAGAGCTTAAATTTTATATTTTTTCCATTTCAATTTAGCATTAAGATGACTTCTACGAATAAATTAGTGGAAAATTTTGTTAAAACTGTCCAAATTGTAATTTTCATTTGAGCCAAGCTTCACTCATCATTGCGAGAAAGGATTGACATTTCCATATCAGTTAGACCTGTCAGCTGTACTATCAGGTAATAAACACCAAAAACAGTTGAGACATATTTCCCAGTGGAACCGTCTTGTAAATGTTTCACAACCCCATATATACACAAAAACATAAGGAGGCAGGCTGCTTCCATTTTGCCTTTGACGGTCAACCCTAGGTGTAATACATCTATGCAGAAAGACACTTGTCAAAATACCTTCTTGTGGGAATCAAACTCGCGTTCTTTGAAAGCAGGGCAAAGAGTCTAACCATTGCAAGACAGATGCCAGGCACAAGAGAAAATCTGAAACAACTGGCACTTTGGTGTCAGTGTCACTGGTTGTCAACACACAACCTAAGACTAGAACTGACAACTTTGAGCCATCTGTCCTTGCTTATGCACTCTGAGACACAGCAGCCTTCCCAAACAAGCTGGGAACCTATCCATCCACCACCTCATGGGCAAGTACTAAAATGGTGAGAAGGGATGCCAAAGTGACAAACGAGTTCTAACTAACTTTGGGATATATTTTTAAAAAGCGATAAAGCAGGCCAAAATTTTCAGAACCAACAGAGGTGGGGGATCAAATACGTTTTCAGGGCAAGAGCACATCTGCATGCACTGTACCAAGCACTGCCAATTTAAACGATTGCAATTGACTACAATGCGAATCTAATGTCCCATATTCCTCGAGCCAATATGAGATGAGATGCAAATAAACTGGACAACTATGAAAGTACAAAATATTTTGAAGTTTGAACAAACTTGGGTCAAAGAAAGAGGGATGAAGAGTCAATGGGACAAAAAAGGGCAAAATAAGATAACTACATTTCTTCACTAGACATGCATGCAGAAGAAGAAAATAAAAAGACTAACCGCAGCCTTACACTCATGTGTGATGTTGGCTTACGTAATTTATACATATTCACAGTGATAGTAACAAAATGCTAATGTACAAGTGCATTGAAGTGGAAAACAGGTAAGAGATATGACAAAAACTGCACCTTCAAAGGTCAGAGTATCACTACACATCTGTCCCCTCTGCCCAGATGATTCTAAAACATCAATTCCAAACGAGTCAAGGAACTAGACAAGACAGAAATCTGCTTTTTCATTAATATTCTGTATGGACATTTCAATAGTCTCTATTAACACAAACTAATAATATGTATAACATTTTTCACATTTATGAAAGTAAGAAACAGAATTTGTCGTAGGAGTTCAGTCGTAATTCAAAGCAGAAATAAGAATGAACAAAGATGCTCACAGTGCACAAATGAATTCACCCTTATCAAAGACATCCCAAATTGCATAGAACTTGGAAAACTACCAAAACTGTTTACCCTCTGGTGGACAGTCTAAATAAGGCCAAATAACTGAGAACAGCCATGAAATATTGTCCTGAAAGCAATATTTTTGCCTTAACATTTTTACAACCCCATTAACAGCATATACAATTTCTCCCCTTTGAATATGCCCACACCAATAAAATTTTGTATCGTGGACATTCGATTGAATTTGGGAAGTACATTTCAATAATGAAAACCTCATTTTGACAGGTCCCACCACATCATGCAACTTACTGTAAATTTAGTATGACCTGTTTTTACAATAAAAGCATGTAAAGGGTGTGGTTAATTTCAGATGGAGTTCAATATCTTAAGTCTGCAAAAAGAAACTGATTCATCAACAAACAGGACTTCATAATTTACAAACTACCACATAACTATTACTGATTACTACTATTATTACCATCAAAACTGTTCTAGTCATGTGTGTGGTTGTACAGTCGAACCTGCTCTGACAAGCACCTGTCTAAAAGAACACTTTCCCTCTTGTGTTTGTCTTTTCTATATTGTAATGACACTGTCCAACAGGACCACCTGTCTTAAATGACCAGTTTTCTCCCCAACAATGGCTGGTTCAACTGTATTTCCAGGAGGAGAAAGACCATGATGTTGAACTGATGAAAAAGGAATATATAACAAAGATCTAAGAACACGAGATGAAAGCCCAAATCTGCTGATTTGTGAGTACGCATGACCGGTGAAACTCCGTTTCCATTTCATTGGGTCATCTGCCCTGTGCTTACCCATGAAGAAAGGCACAGGAACTCCACAGGCTTTGGTCTTTGAATCTTTGAATACCAAAACGATATCGACTCTCTTTCACAATACCCTATTCCCTACAGCAATGAACTGTCGTGGTCACAACACTATTACTCTAGTCAGTCAATTTCTTGGTGTTTTGAAAATTTAAAAAGTGTTAACCAAAGTCAATGATTTTAGCAAAAATGAAAATGTGGCAACAATTGGATTATTAGTATGTTACATGAAACAAGACCTGGCTGCACTGAATATATAAAACAAATAAGAGGCATTTTCACCATTAGACCGACAATAGAAAAACTGAAAAAAATTACTTGGGCAACTGAGTTAAGACCATGACAACATATTGTACGAGGCATAACTGTGTCTGCTAAGAAAAAGTTTCCAACAAGGTCCTACAGTCCAGGGTACCTACAACTTTATGCCCTCAGCCACAAACATCACCTCCTCTCTAAAGCAGCGTGAAGGTCAAAAAGTAAAAGTATGAATATTTGAAACAAGAAGAAGAGTCTTTTAAAAAGCCGACATCCTCCAACATATCACTCAACAAAGCTCCTTTTGATCAAGACAACAAGTATTCCTAAAAAAACAAGGAAATAAGCCAAATAAAAAGAAAGTGTACATTTGATAAAGAAACAGTTTCAGCTACTGTTGAGCTGAGATGAAGTCTGCAGTGAGTGAGCATGAAAACTGCCACATAGAGCAGCCTTTACTGAGTAAAACCAACTGATAATTTGAGTGAATTTCATTTGTAAAGCTCTCTCACTAGCTCTAACCACTGCAGCAGGATGTTCAGTGTGTAATATCAGAGAAGCACATTCAAACTTTTCAAACTGGCCTATTGCCAACCCAATATTCACTTAGTGCTTAAAAAAACAAACCCACACAGAACATGCGAAAAAAGGAGAAATGCAAGGTTCAGACGTTTTTAAAAACCCCACTAGTCATGCTAAATCTAATATTTGGCACAGCTCGCAAAAGACAGTTAACACGGGGGAGACAAAAAGCCTCTTTCCCAGTTCGGGTTAGACATATAAATCATCAGGAAAAGCTTTACGCAGACCCAGTCTAATATCTTTTCTATCCCCACTCTTTTCATCCTTCAGCATTTTACATCAAGTCATCATGCTATGCAATCAACTTCCATACAACTAAAAGCTTAAATATAAAAATAAACACTGGTTCTAGGGGGAAAAAAAGGGGGGGGAGGGAGAGAAACCAAAACTGAACAGAATACATTAAATGAAAGAAATGAAATCAGGTAAGGGTCCTAAAAAAAGTATACAAGAATATAAACAATGACCTAACTAGCAACTTTATATAAAAAAAAGAGTCCCTACACAATGTAAATCTTTCTACCTCTGGCAAACAAACCAAGCAGTACCCAAACTAGCTCTCTACAGCTCGCATCTTTCGCATTCCTGACCCCGACACTGGTGTGGCCACATCAAGTCGCGTGTATGAAGATTTCACATTCAGGCAATATCCATATACCCTGCAGCAGTTGCTCTGAAAGGATGAACAAGCAATAGACATTTACAAGTGGATGCTCCAAACGCCACACTACACACACTACCACAACACAATCTTCAGCTTTACACAACCAATAGCCAGACCCATGCAACTACTCAAAATGAGGCTCAATTCCCTGAATCCAAGTCAAACTTTGAGGATGATATTAAATTTTGCATGGTATGGACATTAAAGTGGAAAAGAAAAAAATTCAGTTATCAGGGGTAAAAATGTGTGTGTGTGTTTGTGTATGTGTGTGTGTGTGAGTGAGCGAGTATATGTGTGTCAAGTGTGTGCATTAGTACAAAAGTAAAAACACCTCATTCCAATTGACTGGCAGACAAATTAATACAGGCAGCATTCACAATCTACCATCATCTCACAAAAAACTTGACTCAGCACCAGATTTTAAAAAACTAACTGCAGTCTGGTCAAATGAGGAGTTCACTGCTTCCGTCACATTTCTCCATACTCAATCTCACAAGGGCCCATTGTCAGCCTAATTCTTTAAACATTTTTGTTGTTGCAAACTTTCGTGAAATAGACCAGTGTGATCAAAGAATTATGCCAACATGCAGTCATAAATTCCTCAACTGTTGCCAAGTATTGGGACTTCTTTCACACAAGTGACTCAGTCTTACAAATTTGTCACAAGAATGGGTCAGAAGAACCAAGTCTTTCCGACAGCAAACAAAAAATGTAACCATTGCTCGAATAAGAACAATCTACACCACACTAAAATACTGATGGCATCAACTGTTGGTCTTAAATCCTCCCACTCTTATGAATTTCAGTTGGCTTTGAATCTCTGCATTTCCTCAATACACATTAAGTTCAACAATTGTAATTATCTACTTGAGCACTCTAATGTATCCAATAAGCGTGTGTGCCCCCCATTGACTTTCAGTTTTTTGCCAACCCCCCCCCCCCCCCCTGCTCCCTATTCCCCCCTTATTCCACACCCCCGTCTAATGTTTTCCAGTTTGCCACGACTAATGATCATGTGAAACATTAATATCTAGAAACTAGACATCTGAACGAAACTTCTTTTTCTTTGTAAATTGCAAATTACCCTCAGTATTAGTATCGGTAGCGGGTTAGCTACCTCAGTTTTCTGTGCATTTTAAAAACCTTAGTACATTGGTTTATATTTTTTAATGAAACTGGTTTGTTCCTAAATGGGAAAAGTAGTCACAATAACTTTCTAAAATCACTAATGGTGCTCATATGACCTGTAAAACCCTCTACTATATAAAAAAAATTTTAAAATAAAATCACTAAAATATCATGATCTCTTGTTCTTTTATTCACTGAAGGAGTAATAAAACAGATTCGTCCCTACTAGTACAGAGGTATGAGGTTGAGCGTGCCACCCCCCGTTTATTAATTGTGGACCACTTGTCCACCCCCCACCCTTTATTCGATATCTTAGAGTACAAGAAAGGTGGATAATTAGTCTCAGCTTCCTTTTTAATTTTTGTTTCAAAGGAACTGAAATCTGGCATTTTTTCCAGCCTTAGTCTACACAGATGTGCTTTTCCCCAGCATGCACCAGTACAATTCCATATCACAGAACAAAGGCATGTAATGTCAAAATTTTAACATTGAATCCGTACATCTCACAAGTCATATGCCGATATTGTACCATCAAAACAACAAATTTTGTTGCTCACACTGTTGATTAATGTAACCTAGCCGCAAATTCAAAGTGGAAAGAAAGAGTACACCCCCCCCCCCCCCCCCCCCTACCACTTTCTTTTTTTTTTTAAACCTCTAAGATTCTCGCTTCAGTTCCTAGCCACGTGGTCCTAATTCTATAGGCATAGATAAAGTTGACAACTATGAAGGACCCAAGCCAAATGGATCAAAATCAACTGTTGGGGATAAAAAGAAAGAAAAGCTAAAATGCAAATAAAACTAGCCCCAACCAACTGTATCTCTACTATCCCATTGATGAGAAAGATGCAGTCTGCCCACAGTCAATGAAGTCTGGAATTAAGTCTCGGGACAACTATTTCCCTATTGTCCAGAAACACTTTTTTTTTCTCTATATGTTGCACTGATTTTTCAAAATTGTACACATAGTTTAAAAAATACACAGGATCAATCATTTTCTTTTGATCTTACAACATACATGGCAAGAAACTTGAAAACTCTCTGCTGTGGAAATCTTTGGATGAAATATCTGTGATGTCAATTTGGCTTTTCAAGGCAAGATTTACATGAAAACTGGTTATTACTGCTGAGGACTTTGAGTAACATCAACAGTATTCATTGCTTTACTTGAAAGGTAGGAAGGTCAAGACATATATCTTTTCAACTGAAGCACCTGAGAAATGAACTAACTACACTGTTTCCTATCTGAAATGTACCTCTAAAAATGGAGAATCTTTTTGGTTAAGGGAAATAAATTCTAAACTTAACTTCAATTTTAAGTACCTACCTGCTAAAGGCGTTTTCAAAATCGCTTCCACAAAGTATACGAGCAAGCAAATGTATTGGTTTTGTTCCCATTTTCCTTTTCAGGTTAGAAAATGTACAACTGTCCAAAACAAGTACTTTTTTCCTCCCAATACTTCCATATGTCGGTCTACCTTGGATAATAACTTTTTAAATGAGCGCACAAAAAAGACTAGCAGCTATATTTGACCACAAAGGGGACAAATGAGTTGAGAGCATATTCGATGAATCCCTGGACACATTATACATATTTGAATGGAATGTTCAAACTGTTCAATGCCAAAGCGCTAAATGTGCAAAAATAAGTAATCACTTTAACAGACTCATGGCTTATGGTGTGATTCAAAGGGGTCTCAAACATGATAGTCAAGAAGATAGCTACAAATAAAAATATCCCCACTGTCAGCACGAGTCACATTTAACAACCTTTCACACAACAAAAGAACTATTAAGCTTCCTTTTTTCCCAGCCAACTTCAAGCTTTTTAAACTTTGATAGAAACAGGTGACTTACTCTCTTGATTAAAAAAAAACCCAACAAATGTAACAATGGCCTTCAACCAGCAGCTTTGGCAATATACCTGAATCTCTCCTACCCTGAGCCCAACACACTGTGTCGCGCACTAGATGGACCTGACTACAGAAAAAGGGCACAGACAAAAAGGCGTACAGAGCTTTTGGTCACGGCTACAGTGGATCGGGAACATAAGTATAAGCATAGCATGGATCAGAGAAACAGAGATGGCTACTGCCCCTATTGTGGATTGCAAGTGAAGAGAAGGGAGACAAAATAATCTCTTCTTCCCTTCACATGCAATGCATTCTAAAACTAAAAACACAGCTCACCTCCACCCACCAGTAACAGTATTCTTCAACTGATATCAACCTGCACCATGGACAGCCACTTTTCTTTCATTATTTTTAAGGCAACACATTGCTGCCATTGCACTCTGTCCCTTCCCCCCACCTCTGTGGAGCAAGCAGCAGGAATGTGTTTTTATGATCCTCCAGTTCCAAGAGCTGCAATGCGGTGCCTCTCACACGTTTTTCAATGCAATGTCACAGCCTTGCAGCCCTTTTTATAAGAATCCAGGGGACACAAAAGTAACTTTTTGGAAGAGGTTGGAACAAGAACACTTCAATATCACCAATGAAATTAACAACTTGACAAAGAATGCAGCCTAGAACATTGAATAACAACATATAAACCCAAGGCGTAAACCAAAGACGAAACGTGTATTAAATCAATGTTTATGGAAACACTGTATCCCTTCAAACCCCAGTCTACTGAAAATGATTAACCAGGCTGGAAAGGTCCGTCAGTCAGTGCAACAACGGGCTCGGTCAAATCTTGAAATGTTAACAGTGATGTAGGCAGACGTCATCCAACAACAGGTCTCGACCCACATGAGCGGCAAAATGAACATGGTCCAGCAATCGATGGAATAATGAGTTTTTCTCTGCCCCACACGGCGGTGACTGTGCCATGAGAGGATGGGAGTGATGAGTTCACTTCGCTGAAGTTTATTATCATGCAACTCTGTCACCACACAGTGCACACACACACACACACAACAAAGCACCCAGCGGCTGCGTGTAAGTCGTGAAGATTTTTGTTGTTGTTGTTACACACAAAGTCATGTCGGAAACAAAAGTCACAAGTCTTTTTTTTTTCTAGCCTTACACCGACGGCAAGGGTTGATGCCATGACTAGGAAAACTTGTCAGCAAAGCTGAAAGAAGGATTTTGCGAGGCGCTGAGCGAGTTGGTGATGGCTGACCCTTGGGCATTGGTTACCAGCATGACCGAGCCTCCAGAGCCCAAGTGAGATCCCATGCTGGTGTGCAGGCTACCATCAGCGGCTGTTCTGCAGGTGGTGAGGGGAGAGGGGGAGAAAGTGAAAAACGATTGGTGTTGTTTTGTTGTTGTTTTTTCCCCTGATCATCATCATCATGTTCCTTGTGGGAGTATTAAAGCTGCCAATGGATCCCCACAGAAGAGTAAGAAATCACAACGAGAAGAAAAAAGATAGTATTTGTTTCTATGCTCAACAGCTGCGCATACACAAGAAATCCCTTCGAGTCAGGGATGTACATGCTTTATGATTACAAAGCTTGGTGGGAGAGGGAGGATTTTCTACAACAATAAGATTCACATTCTTCACCATTTATCTTCCACAACTCCATGTCAAGAACGTTCATTTCCATAGGGAAAAATGTGCAATGAAAGACTTAAAAATCACAACAGCTACACCAATAGAAATCTGTCTGTAGAAAACATCTTAAAACTATGTTTTGTTGGGTTCATCTGTGCCAACAATTAACCATACACTCAGTTGTGGTACAAGCTCTCCCAGCTCAATAAGAGTCCACTAGCAAATGGGAGAGAACTGTTGGGACAGTACAAGCTCAAAGCTTTACTTTATTATTCTATCACTAAGCATTCTGACCTTCAAAGTATCCACAGCTACTGCTCACGGTAAGCAACAGAATAACTAATAATGGAAAAACAGCACCATTTTATCTTTCTCACTTCATCATCATTGCCTTTCTCATCCTGCACAAGGGGTATAGGCCACGAACAAACACTTTCCACCTTTCTCTATCCTGGGCTAGCCTCTTGATGTTATTCCATGTCTTCCCGCTTTTCTGTAAATCAATTGCTGTGATTTTTCTTCAGGTTCCACGCGATCTTCCCCTTGACCTTTTCTCAACTTGCTTAAAAATCAAAGGTTGTTACCACAATACCCAATTTCTATTTCTTAGTCATAAGTATAGATTTAAACATCCTAAATTTGGTGCTAGTTATAAACACTGGGTACACAACACGCTAATATAATAGTTAACAGGATAGGAAAGAATAAAATTCAAAAAAATATTTTCATTGTTTTCATTTCCAATTTCACAGTATTGCTGCTTGGCAAAGTAATTTCCTAAATTTCATACTCAAATTACTAGTGATGGATTTTGGCCACCTCTCCTTTCAGGTGTTCAAAGCTTACTTGAGAATACATTTCTTGGTATCCATAAATCTTTCAGACCTTGGGGAAAAAACCCTGTTAAATATAATACTTGGTCAAATGCTAACTTTAAAAAAGACAAAACCCTGTTAGGTACTTAGCCAGAGAAACAGATTCATGAACAGTCCCCCCCCCCCCCCCCAATGTTGATAAACATCCACTGTACATTATTGCAGGTGAGTGAACTATATATATAAACTTATGCCAATAACCGTGTAAGCACACATCCGCATCCTCATTGAAGCACACTTAGCTTAATTAATACTGATATCTCGCATGTGACTAGTTCAAGGAGATGTACTTCTCCACTGGTAACTGAAAAGAGTACAGTAACTATAAACTGTAAATCGACAGATCACTTTGAGCAAGTCACAACCTCATACTGTCCTTCCTTCAGTTCTCCTCATGATGACATCCATTACAAGTGTTCCTAAGAAAACTAACTCGTTTGCCCACATTTCTTGAGCAAGACATAAAACTGAGGTCTGATTCACTCCTCCAAGACCAACATCCTCCAACACACCAAGATATATTACGAATTTATTTGTTCACTTTCATTTATCCATACCCTTGATTTGGCAAGACAATAATTGAAGACGGCAAACTTCCAGTGTCCATTGCTCTTTCAGCAAGAGGGTTAACAGGTTACATTAACGATGAAGCAGACACCCGGAGAGCTTACACCATCCTTCTCAGGCCACTGAGATTCGACATTGCCAAGTGAACTTTGTTTGGCATTGTAGACTATGCCTGCCATAGTGCAAGCAGGCATGAACACAACTTTGCAGGCAGTTCAGCAATGTTAAATACTTTTGTCAAATACTGCACACATGGGAGAGCCCATGGCACTCTTCTTTGACAAAACCAGCTTTCTCTCTAGAAAGAGCTGTTCGGGATTATAAGAAGTAAAGAAGACCAAGTAAAGTTTATTTACTTAGATTTCAACTGTGCCGGCTTCAAGTAGTCGTCCGCTGCCAGCTGCATCACATCTGGTCGCAACTCTTTCTTGTACTGCAAACACCTTCGGATGAAATTCTAGTGAGGAAAAGAGAAAAGTGTGGAAGAGATAAAAACAACTTTTTTCAAACACAATCAAGGGCAGCTACTGCTGAGCAGTTACTGTTAATACCGAGTTGTTAATACTGACAAATAACACAAACATTTCAAGAGGAACAGATGCTGATATTAGTAACACAAAAAAAAAAATAGAAGCAGACCACATCAGAGTACCTACCAAACACCTGCTTCTAAATATAAGTGTTAACAGATGAAATCTGCGCTTTTTTCGTCTAATAAGGTAACTGCAACAAGGTTTGAGCTAATTGAAGCACCTGTTGAGACTCAAAGTCCCATCTATCCATGATAAACTCGCATTCGCCATCAGCAAATATTACTTGTATCAACACATATTACTTTGAATGTTTCATGGAAAACTAAAAGACAATGAAAAGGGATTTTGAGCACTATTTCCTTCAAGGTAGTAACATAACCAGAATTCTAAGGAACCCTTTAGTAATCAAGGAACAAGCAAACTTTGAACAGCAGAAAATTTTTCCAGCTGCACATTTTTACACGGCTCTCAGATTTTAATGAAAAATTGGTAACAAGTAGCAACTCAGCATGAGCAGGCTTTAATGTCTGCTGTACCCACCCTTGGTCTTCTATTCAAGGACACTTCGTCAACAACCCTGTGGGTCATTTTCCTTCTTAGACCAATGTTTACTCTTTCCTCTAAGGAAGGGTAAACCCACTATGCCTGGGCCCACTTTGTTTTTAAAAAATCTAAATATAACATGTACGGCACTAAATAGTTCATTAAATCAAAACAAGTGAATCTGTTTTGATAGTTCTTCATTTCAAGACAGGAACGCCCGGTAAAAAAAACCTGTTTTCGGTAACCGCTGAAAACTAATTTGACGTCAAAGTCATTGCGAAGGAATGTGTTCCGAGTCGCTGAGAAGGGCTTACCAGAGATAAGGAGTCAAGCCAATGAAAGAATTGCCCCCAATGCAAAGTCTAACAGGGACAACAAAAATAGTCAGTTTCTACTCTCCCCAATAAAAAAACGTTTTATCCCTTACCTTGGCCTCCTGAGTTACTGGGGGTTTTGAGGCAAAATCCACTTCTGTTGCCTTAAGTATTGTGTTCTCTTCTAAGATGGCGGCCTGAGACAGGTTATGCCCAAAAGGCTGCCGAAAAGAGAGACAGAACAAAAATTTGATAATTCCTGTCAGCAAATAACACAATATAACATCTTTTTACGTAAAATAACACTAAACAAGGCATAATTATATAGAATTAAATTACTTTTTTCCCATTTCATTTCTTGGCTATAACTTTTTGATATGTTCAAAATGAACCTGTTGAAACAGACTCTTTTCAAGAAACCATCTTTTCAATCCAGACAAGAGGTAACATAAGTTAAGTTTTTGGGAACACATAGGTACAAGGCAAAATCTAACAAAGTTGGCGTAAAAGAGGTGGTTACCAGAGTGACTGCTCTCATGAGCAAGACACGTTATTGGCCAAGCTCAATTACAGATCACTCCTCTGCAGCAACTAGCATTGGTGTTCTGCTCTGTGAAATCACTTTTTCATCATGTTGACCATTATGCATTACATTGTAAAAAAGTCTACAAGTGGAGACCGAACAATCCCCCCCAGCGGCTTCACACTTCACACACACTGAAAAACATTTTAACTACATTGCATTAGATAAAAGCATCTTCACCTGCACTTAACAAACATCTATTCAGAGTAAAAAAGACCTACCTTCTTGCCATACAGACACTGATAAAAAATCACACCCACGGACCACACATCAACTTTGGAAGAAATCTTTGGCGGAGTTTTGCCCACAACAAAACACTCTGGTGGTAAATACCTGCAAATTAAGACATGTTTAATTACATTTTCCATCACATTAACATTATGAATTTTTAAAACTAATTACTTCATCAAGAAATGTAGACTTTCTTCCCAAGCGCAAAATGCACTTCATGTATGCTTCACATATAAAAATTCAGTGTCCTGGAAAAGTGGTATAAATTCGTAATAGCATCCTTTGTCCTTAGCATGAGGTGAGATGACTTTCTATCAACTAGTTAATGAGCGAGCATGTAAGAACTGACAACACTTTATTGATGTCCATGTTCTACCATTCAACCATAGAAAGTATGATCAATTTTTGTATAACAGCATGGGCCGGGAACACAAGACAACAAGATAAAGAAAAATTAAATCGACTAATACGGAAAGCAGGTAAAATTTCAACATCTTCATTCCCCTACTTGGATGAATTGTACATAACAGCTTGCACTAAGAAAATTAATTCCATCTTTTTAGACAAGAAACATCCCTTGTTCCCTCAAATAAAAACATCAGTCAGAAGTAAAAGACCCATGCTTCTGATCTGTAACAAAAAAAGATACAGAAGGTCATTTTTACCATCATCTATCAAAATGCTTCCATCTTAACCATCTTGTGTTTAGTGTACTTACGACCTTAGAGCATGCATCAAAATAACATTGAGTGTGTATCTAGCTTACGATTATTATTGTTTATACTGCTGCTCATTTATATTATGCATGTGATTGTAAGCCTACTTGTGTGTGCATGTGTGTACGTGTGTGTGTGTGTGTGTGTGTGTACTCGTGGTGGAACACCAAACCAATGTGCCAGGATCTGGACAATAAAGATGTATCTTATCTATCTTAACTTCTCTGAGACTGCTCCTGCTTGACAAGAACAAAACCGCAATACAAAATATTCACTGATCATAGCTGCTTGTTTGTGTGAAACTCTCAGATGTATAGCAGGTACACAAATACTAAAAACACACCCCTTCCATGTCAGTTTATCAGCTTCCCTAATATTTTGGGTCTTTCTAAGGGCTCAGTCCCCTGTCTCTATGTTCTAAAAATGAAAAGCCAACACTAATCATATTCTATGTTCAAAATGATAACTTGATTTTTCTGTGTTTTTGTGGGAAGTTTTTTTTAAAGATTAGACATCCTTAGCAGCAATAGTTTCACCAGTGCACCTACCAATAGGTTCCCGCGCCCTGCGACGTGAGATCCATTCCGATCTCAGGCTGGAAATTGGTCTCATCCATCACTTTGCTGAGACCAAAGTCTGTAATCTTAATTTCTCCGCTCACTGACCCACTGCCCAGAAGAATGTTTCCTGCAACAAACAGTAAATTCCATTAACAGCTTTACCATAAACCGAATATATATCTAAACTGAAGGTGTGAGCGTACTAATATTAGTGAGCACATGTCATCGGTAAATATCACAGTACTCTGAAACAACAGAGTATACATGCAGTCAAATTGCATTTGACCCCGTTCTGTCTTTTTTTCTCTGACATGTTCCCTAGATATGCTTATTTTTGTAGTTTCTATGAAGTCTACAAACTATTCGCAGGAAACGGTGAGTTATCACATCCCTAGATACGGGATTCCTCATGAGCAATAAAAGACCAAATAATAAAGAAAGCGAAGTGATTTGAGGAAAATCAAAAGGAAATACGCCTATATGTTTTCATGTTTGAACACACATAGATGTGAATGATACTGCATGTAGTAAGAGATAGTGAGGTTGAGAAACAGACTTCTAAAGATTCAGTGGTGAGTTTCATCCAGAAAACAGAAATAAATCTAACATGAGAGTGGTTACTCCTTTTTCCAAATATTCGCAAGGAAGACTATTGTGCAAGATTTAGTCAGTAAATGGTGGGGCCCCAAAAATATCTGCCACGGAAGAGCCATGCTCACTCAGCGCAGCGTCTTTGAGCAGGAGGAGAGGAGGACACAGCTTGGAACACCCACCAGTCTCAAGCACTAGTGATACTCCTCCAGCAGCACTGCTCTGAGCACTGAAAATATTATCTGAGCAGTTTGAGCAAGGCACCACTCACAAGTAACAAGTACTCCAGTACGCTCAACAAAGCACAAATAAATAATCGAATTATGGAGAATGTCCTCCCATGAACAATCTTGATATAAGGAAGTGAATTCCCAACAGCATACGATTTGGGTCAAGAAAGTTTTTATGCCTCCCACAAGAAATGTTCAGTCGAGTCCCTACACTCTCAGTCCCTCTTTTTCATCGTCACAGGAGCTAACATTGTCATTACCAGCAATGATACTACATCTACAATAGCACAAGAATTTTTAGAATTCAAAACCCTTTTGACCTTTCCTCCAAGCTACAGCTGCTCTCTGAAATGTTCAAAAAAGTTAGTTTGGACTTTTGTAAGTCTTTCTGTACCAAACCATAGTGCATTTGAACAAATGGTTTCCTCTATTTTATCCTGGAAGTATGGCTTGACCTTTCAGGACAGTAGCCATGCTTATAGCCGTGAAAGTGAGGGTATCATCAATCAATGAAGGTTATGAGAAACACAAGTAATAGTTAGGAATGAAGGAGAATGCAGACATAGCAGGGAATTGCACACAGTCACTTTGAGTGAGTCAAACAGAGCCTTCCTGAGGAAACTTTGACTTCATCGAAATTGTTGGGAAACAGTTTTACATTCGAATCAGCATACCTTTGTACTCAGTACAACATGACAAATTCTTGGGGGGGTTTTCTGAAACTCATGACAGAAAGCTGTAAAAGCTTTCATTTTATAATAAACAGTAATATACAATCAAAACCCGAGAAGCAACTTATTTCACTAAGTTAAAAGAGAAAAAAAAAGAAAATTAAGAGGGTTCAATATTTAACATAGCACATACCAGGCTTGAGGTCGTAATGTATCACAGGTGGTTTTATCTCATTGAGATAGCGAAGGGCGCTGACCGTCTGACTAATGATGGAGCGCGCTTCCTTTTCTGGAATGCTCTTGTTTTGCTTTAGGTAAAAATCAAGGTCATTGCCTTTCTGGTATTCTAACACAGTACAGAACCTGTGGACAAAAGTATGGGAGATAACGTGGCTGACCCAAAACAGAAAAACGAACAACAACCATTGATATATCTCAACTAACACATCATTACTCTCAACAGGCAAGGTAAAGAACATAACAGCAATCATTTCCCCTTTTTCATTATCACAGCAAAAACTAGTTGTAACTTCTCTCCAGCAATGCCCATTTTATTGGGAAAATGGGAAGATGGCCAGCAGACACATAATGGTGAAGGGAACTTTTAAAAAGCATTTTTGATAAGCAGATTGTGTTTTTAATCACATTCATAAAGACATGGAAAACATCTTAATCATGTGTCTCTATATGCAAAATTAAACAAACTTAAAAACTCTCCATATTGTTACAACGTTCCTCTTCTAATACCATAGTGACCTATGGTGAAAAGGTAACCTTAAAAAACCACCCTTTCCCAGTCACTGTAAACTTTTACAATAAAGAATTATATCTCACAGTGCATTAGTGAATAATCCAGACGTGCATATAACAGAATAAAAATCATTAGAGTGTCACATCAGCTACACTAAGAAGTAGACAACTTTATAAACTCATAGCTTTATTAGTTTATAGTGAAAGTGGTAACATCACAATCATAATAGCGTATTAATATGGGAATATCACATTTTTTCACTTACGAATTGTTATCTATTTCAAACACATCAAACAGTTTGACTATTCGAGGGTGGTCCAATGTCTTGTGAATGTTGTACTCCCGAAGGGCATGTCTGAAACAAAATGGAAAAATGGCAACATTTTAAAAGCTTGCAAAAAGGTACCTCTTGACAACCGCCTTTCTACTTCACAGCTAGAGGCACAGGATACATCAGAAGAGCTGGCCCCCAAATAATTAGATTACAGTAATTACACATCAAATTGTACATGAGCAGGATTAAGATTATTTTTGTTGAGACACAAAAGTCTGTGGCACATCATCGCAATAATGACCAGTCTGCTAGGATTACAAGTTTTTTGGTAAAAATTTGTCATTGTGATGGCAAGCCCCACACTATGGTTGTTTGTTTTGGGTTGGGTGGTTTTTTTTGGCTAGATGAACACTCGGTCAACAGATTGCCATGGAAGAGTGAATAAAAGAGACAAAGTATGGATAAAAAATTCCACCCCTTTGCAGGGTGACTGCCAACCCGGCTTCTCAATTTTCCAGGGGGGAGCCTCATCAACTTTCCAGGGGCATGTTACATAACAACGACAGCGGGCACTCCATTTATACAGACACACACGCATATATAGGTACATTATTCATTATATCCAGTCAACAACATGTCAGTGTGACACTAGAGTACTGTGAGACTTAGGTATTTCAGTCTGTGCTGAATTTTTAATATTCACATTTTCCCCTCATAATATTCGCCTACATAAACTATATCAAAATGAATCTTGTTTTGAGCCTGATAAAAGGCCTAGAACCAGAATATTGACTGTCAAGAACCAGTTTGTGGGTCAAGATTGATATAATATTAATAAACGTGAAAGACAAAAATTATTGCTCAAACACCAAGTTGAGTAATAACTTGAATGGCTCCAGTAGACCTATTCAGAGTGAGAAGTGTAAGACCTTTGGGAGGGCAAGATGCAGTGACACTGAAAATCTGCTAATCTTGAACCGAAAGCTAAAATATAGATATACAATATATGTACTTTACTTCGCCCATCCAATGAAATGCGAACCTTTTAGTTGAAAAACACGGCTTACAGGGTAAGAGTACGACGGATCCCGATTCCACACAAGGCCAGCACCAACGCATGCTTTTCAGAGAGCTCAAGCAGTAATCAAAATTCTAAATACTAAAATTTGTTTTCAATTTCAGTTTTTGTAATCCAGAGTTGCCTTCAACTCCATCTTCCCTCTCCAGAGTGTATCTTTAAAAAAAAAAAAATCAATAATCCTCCTATTCCAGAGTCCTACGCTTGTATAACTTTCCTTTCTTCCTTTTTTATTTTCACAAGAAACAGCACTGGACAAATATTGGTTTAATTTCTAGGCGATACAGTGTTCATAATCCAAAACTACCTGCAGGTTAAAAATGTTGCGTTATCAGACTACTACGGCAAATTTCTGGGTGGTAACGAAAGCGAAAGTAGATCTTGATTTTCCTGATCGAGCTTCGGTACCACACATACACTTCCATTTGCCGCCATACTCGCCTGTTCGCCTGAAACGTACTCTCAGACCGGGAAAAGCCAATAAATATCACAATCACGACCGGCAAAAATTAACCCAAGGACGTTATCTGATTTGGTCTTGAAATCTTCAGGAGCTTTAATGTATATTCCCGGGGCAATTTGAAAATTTCCTCAAATTCCTGGGGTATTCCCGGGTCTCGGCCATTTTTTTTTAATTCCCAGGGGATTCCAGAGGACCCATGGCCTGGCAGTCACCCTGCCTATGCTAACCAGGCCATGGTGTACAAGTTGCATTCAGCCAGCCATGAGCTTCCTACCTTGCTTGCAGGACAGCAAAAATAAATTCCGAGCCCACACACAAGCATCAATAGCAACAGGAAAAGAATGAACAGACTGTACCTACGCACCCACCCACCACATAGGAAGAAGAAATATCTAGACATCAAACAGTAATTTTGGCTGCATTTTTTTAAATTTCTAACATGGTTTACACATAAAAATAAAAAATAACTGGGACAGTTTTGGTGCATTTTAAATATATTTTTTCAAATGTTTTTCTCCATCACCGTTATTATCCCGCTACAGCTTTGCACAATATTTCAAGCTTTCTATGAAAGAATATTCAAATTACGGGAAAGCTTATGCATTGAAAACCTGGCTTCTGAACCATAGATAAACTGTTTACTAGCCTCTGTGGTATAGCGGGTAGATGCTTCCCTGTCACAAGCAGGAGAGCCAAGCTCGATTCACGAGCAGGGAGAATTTTTTTTATTGAATATCTGTATCTTCCCGATAGAACGTTGTATCCCTCTAAGCCTGGGTTGGCCCTGGCAAGCAGGGTTAAAGCCTGCTTCCAAAATTACCTAGAATGTGTTTATTTTGGGTGTAAAAACACAAACATTTTTTTTAAACCAAACTTTAAAATCCCACGCCCTCAACATCCTAAGGAAACCAGAGGCAGGAAAAAGTGAGTTAAAATCCTACAAAACTGGCCAAAAATGCTTTTCCCATCAGCATCCCCCCCCACCCCAAAAAAAAACAACCATGGATCCACATGGACAAATAATGTTAAAGAAATCTCTAAGACACAAGTAAAACTATGACTTACTTTATGTAATTTGCTTTTTTATCCTCTTTCCACTCTCTGTTGAGTTGGTGGATCTTACAAGCAACATATCTTTGCTCCTTCAGATCAAATCCCTAGAGAAAGAAAAATGTGAATAAATTAATGAAAAACTTTTAACATATTTTGCATTAACTTACACTACAGCATTTATGAGAAATTGAAATGAAATGCTCAAAAACCCAAATTAATTATTATTTTATTTACATTCAAGGGTAGCTGGTTCTCGGCCATCCTGGTAATAAGCTTACAGACTTCTTTTGAAACAAGGATATAATTGCAAAATTTTTTAAACCAGGAGACACCACGAAAATTTAGAAGATATGCTTGTAACAGGCTCAGGACTTGGACACCAAAACAATTTAATGGTATCAATGAACTCCACAGTGCAAATTAAGTCTGTTTATATAAACTTCATAACTTGCACTACTTTAATAGAAATACCCAAAAAGAAGGTCAAATAAGTCATCAGTCCTGCCAACATATCATTCATTTCTTACCGGTTTTCTTGAAGCCCAATGTAACATATAACCCCATTAATTTTGACAATCTCTCACTGAATTTTAACTCAATACAATAAAGATTTGGTTTATGCAATACAATCAGTTAATCATTATCATTTTGTTTTAGTAAGAATTTTACGGCACTTGCAACACAATCAGGTCATATAAGTGCCAAAGATTAGAGGTGTAACAAACATAAAAAAGGAGGAAGGGAGATAAGGACAACAGACTTTTGATAGGAAAGAAGAAGCAAACCACACCAGAGCACCCACCAAACCACCCACAATCATTATCATCAAACCACACCAGAGCACCCACCAAACCACCCACAATCATTATCATCAAACCACACCAGAGCACCCACCAAACCACCCACAATCATTATCATAAAACTAATACATTTATACTTTAAAAAATACAGGTAATTTCTGGAGGTATTTGGTTTAAAAAGAACTTACCTTGTGAACTTCACTGAAACCTCCCTTTCCAAGCAAACAAAGAAGAAGATACCGTTCATTCAAAATTGGATGATCTTTGAACCTGTGGAAATGTAAACAAAGTTGCATTTTAAATAAATTTGATATAACACTGTTGTCCCCATAGGTATATGAACACAACATGGGTACGCCATTACTACTTTTCTGCACAAATTATTATGACAAAGCACCTTTAATGTTCAAGTAAAAAAATTGCTTTAAACTACTTATCACCTTTGAACACAAGTAACTTGAACAGCTCTTGCCACATTTCAGAAAATAACTTTTTTATCACTTCATAACAAGTCAGACCACTTTATTCAGTGTAAAAATAGAAGTCTTGAAAAAAAAAAACGCGCTTCATCCACAGAAATAACACCCAAACATAAAGAGGAACAAAGGAAAATAAATACACAGCTTCTCAAAGTAGGACTTCCCTAATCCCAGCTACAAATACAAAGAGACTCCGGAAAAGAAAAAGTACAGACAAAACTTCAAAATCAGTAAAAGCTCATAACTGCCAACTTTTTAAAACCAAAGAAGACTACCTAGGCGGTGGGTCAAGATGGTGGGCACTGGCCAAATACCCCCCCCAATACACTTTTCCACACTTGTAACTTCAACGCATTCAAAGCAATTATGCAAGAAATGTTAAGTGAAGATCTTTAACTATGTGTTGTGGGTTTCATTCTCATTATCAATTATAAATCTGGTCTTGAAATTCTATGATTTCCCTTCGGCATCGGTGAGCCTGTGAGGAGTAATACTAGAAAAGAAAGAATACATATGTGTGGCATCATGGTGAAATCAGGCGCTCATTAAAATAAGGAAATCAAAGAAACAGGCATTTTTCCTCCAGTTCGGCAATTTTGTTAGAATATTTGTTTTTTGGCTCAACACCTTTTATGTCCATATAGAATTACATTTCCATGTGAATATTACTGAAAAACGTTGATTCATAGCACAAAATATGTAAGTTTTCAAGGACTCTCAAGCTACAGAAGTTACCAAGCTTTGGCAGCCATTTTCTCGCAAATTTTACCTCAGCAAACAGGTTACCCCCACCTCCTTCAATCGCAAACATCTCAACTTCTATTCCAGAGGTGGGTATTTTTTTCTCCGAAAAAGACAAATAAACAAGTTTTAAGATGATACCAACAACTTCATATGTCCAAAAATTGACGAGCGCCTGATTCCACTGTGCCGTAACACATATTTTCCGCAACAAAAATGGACCCATACTCAAACCCTCAAAAACATATTAAATACATTTTTTAATTACTGTTTAGCAGCTATGAAAACTGACTTTCCACTTTTTGTCCATTTTACCACAGCAAACCAGTTCATAAACTGTTTTAAAAAAACTAAAATCTCCAAAGTATCTACTTCACCAAGCAGAACAAACCTCGAGTTATCTTCATTGTGAATTCGCTTGAGTTCACGTATATGTAGATTTCTTTCTCTCTCCAGTTTCTCCATTTCCAGTTGCAAATCAGCATCTTCTTTCTTCAAGGCAGCTGCTCGAAGCTTAAGGATTTCATCCTGTTCATAGAACTCTGCCAGGGTTAAACTGAAAGAAAAAGTATTACCAATCTTCAGAAATCACAATTATTACAGCTTCATCTTCCACACCATCAATCATTGCATTCATACTCAAAAAGGAATGACCGTCTCTGGACTTTTCAAATGTTATAATAATAAATAATAAATAAATAACATTTCATTGATCCCCGTGGGGAAATTTAGGTTACAATAGCAAACATACATACAAAAATATAAATACAAAATATTGAATGATTCCGGGATTCACTGGGCCTGACAGTCACAATTAATTCATGCGAGAATCGACCTCTGCATGCGATTGACTAACCACTACACCACAGACACCGGTAAATTAGCCAACATGCACTATGTAAGCTAAAGGCTTTGAAGAAGCACAGAAGATACGAGCCAGGTGTGTACATTTATCTTGACTATGCAGCACACCTCATACATGGAAAATAAAAGGTGGGTAAACCAGATGAACCCTGTCCTGTACAAAATAAAAAAGCTGCTTTTGGGGTCTAAGAAAAAAAAAGAACACTTCATAACACTGGCTGCAACAATACATTCTCACTAGTCATACACATTGTAAGAATAAATTCAAAAACAAAAAAGTAAAAAGAACTTACTATTTTTCCCCAGGCTTGAGAAAGTTGTCATGTTTTGCATTTTTCCCAAGGGCAGTTGGAGGCTTCCTTTTTATAAGAAGTCGCCTCTGTTTGTCTATGTCATCTTTATCTGCCGTGATCCTTTCTTGCTGCCTGTTATAGGAGTAATGTTACATTACATAACAGGAAAGCAATTACTTAACATACATTTATACGATTTTTTCCAACTTCACATTAATATCAAGTCAGAGCAATTCCATGTACATAATAAAATCATAATTAACAAAGACATATCAGTTTCAATTTACTCATTTTTTTTTATCTAACAAATGAAATAATTGTCATGTGGTGGAATCAGGTGCTCGGCAATTTTTCGGCAAGTGGAGTTGTTGGTATCATCTGAAAGCTTACTCAATTGCCTTGCTCTCTATGAAAAAACGCCCATCTATCTTGAGCAGAAGTTGAAATATTTGCGATTGAAGAAGGTGGGGGAAGAATGGTTTCAGAGGTGAAATTAGCCAGAAAATGGCAGCCCAAGTTTCAGTAAAAAATCACACAGAAATGAGTTTTTATACAGGCATAAAAGGTGTTGAGCCAAAATCAAAAAATCGTTAAAAATTGCCAAACTTGAGAAAAAATGTGTTCCTTCGATTTCGTTGTTTTGACGAGCGCCTGATGTCACCACGATGCCTCACATATACTGTTTTGTTATTTAACATATCATTCCAATTTAAGCATCTTACAATAAGCATCTCCACCATTGAAATGGTACTCGAATGAGGTACACATAAAATATATAGACATTTCCTCTCACCCCCCATTCTCACCTGTAAAATAAGTTCCCATAATCTTCAACAGTTGCCAAATCAATCAGCTTATTACACATGTCTTGTAAAAATCATTTTGTTATTCTACAGAAAATATCATTTTCTCCTTTATTGAACAACAATATGCAGATTACATAACACAAAAACAATCAAATATCATTACACTGGCAACTCCTCCTGATGGAAAACCATGACACAAAAGCCAAAAAAGGTTCATCCCATACAATTTGAATGTGGTCTACATGAGTGTGAAAAACAGGTTCTTTAATCTTGATTACTGAAACGCAGTGAACAACACAATACATCTACTCACTTCATAAGATCTTGAAAAGCCCACCCATCCACCCAGTTTTCCACAAACTGAGCACCCTGCCTTTGCGTCACGAACTGCCCGAGCCGTAATCTATTTTCCATGCATTTCTGTCTCGTCGTCTTCTTTTCCAACGTACTCTGCAAAGTTTAAAAGAGAGCAAAACATTGAAATAAATGTTTTCACATCATAACTCAGTACTTACTGGGACAGCCTGTTAATACAAAAACATGAAGAAAAAAGACAAATTCTATTGGACACCATTCAGTTATTAATGAACCATGACATATAAACCACAAGTGACCTTTAAATACTTAAATAATTTCCATGAGTAATAAACATCCATAGAAGAAACAAAACAGCAAAAGTTGCTTTATGCAAATGGTTTATTTCAATGTCAGACCTGCCACTCTATGAAATCTAAAAATCAGGATCTTAGGGGGGGGGGGGGGACTCGGGATCAACAACAAATCACCTAGGATGAATGGCAGGTCTGCATTGTGCACGAGTGAGGACGAGCTATAAGAATGCCCTCACCCCTCCATACACACACACAAAAAAAAAGCCCAAACAAAAAAGAAAAACAATGACTAACTAATAAAAAAAACTCAAACACATCATCGTCATACCTTTTCAATGAGAAGACTCTTGTTCACTTCCAAACATTTCTGAAGATTTTCTTTATGTTTTTCCAAAAGTTTATTCTGTGCTGTACATTGGCGTTTCAATTCATCATTTTGCTGTAAAATATAGAAACATTTTTTGGAAATTTAAAACCAACAACTTCAAACCAAGTTTGAAACTGTTAAGAAAACACAACTTTATAGGTGCTGCATAATCACACTTTGGTTATGAACATGATGAACAAAGAAAGATGAACAAAGTTATAAAAATCTTATGTTTTTGTAAAGTGTTTTATGGTGCTCACAACAGCATAAGGTCATATGAGCGCGCGGGACACACCTAATATTTTCAGTTGGTAGGAATTTTTTAATTTTGCCCGGGTGGTGGCCGAAGCCTACTCTTATCCATTTTAGACCACCAAAGGATCTTTAACGTGCGCAACTTGCACATTGGCAATCCGAGATTTATCGCCCTTGTCCGAGAAGGCTAGGTGTAGATCTTTCCTACCAGAAGATCAGGGGTGTGGCAGAAAGACAGCAGTAAGAAGGAGCCAAGGAGTGGCAGCAGAAAGAGTCAGGAGCCCAGAGGAGGGGGCAAAGGAGGTGAGGGGGTGGGGGCAGAAAGTGGAAATGAAAACAGACAACAGAACATTGCTAGAGAGCAGGAAAGGGGGTGAAAGGGGACAATTTTAGAGAAGAAAATTTTTCGGTTGCTACCCAGATTCGAACCCAGGACCTTTGAATGAGAGGCCAACACCTTAACCTCTAGGCCACGAGAGCCCCCTAAAAATCTTAAATAGGCAGTTGAAAAATAACAAGGACAAAGTTCCACAGAACAGGGAGTGAGATGCTGTGTTACGCTAAGGACGTTTCATTAACCAAAAAGCAAGAGTCAAAATCAAAGACATTTATGATAGGACATGTTCATGGTATAATGATAGGAATGGCAGGAGCATTCACTTTAGACTTTAAATTCACAGAGTTGACATTTGTTAGTGTAGAACTAAGCATGCATAACTGAATACACAGCCAACAGGCTATGACTTCAGATTATTTTGCCTTGAAAAGCAAAATGGAACAACAACTGAAATGTTCGGTACATTTATGAAGCTGTTTTTAAGGGTAACAAATTTCCATGTAATACACTTGATTTTATTACACTTTAATATTAAGAAAGTTATTTAACTTCAAGCATAAATCAGCCCACAGAAAAACTTATCAAAACTCCAAACATCTCTCTGAGAGCCTTCTTGCAACTAACAAGTTTCACTTTCCTTTCCTTACACCAAACCACAGCACAAGCAGCAAGAATTATTAGATAAAGGCATCTATTTCTTAATCAAAATATTATGCTACATGAGCACTGAAAAATAAAACCATTTCAAAACAAAATTTTAGCAAATAACTCTTTCCGGACGTATCGCCGATATATCGGCACGAGTCCACACCCCTTGCGGACATATCGCCGATGTATCGGCTATGATGGGGTGCCTCAGTTTTGTTTTGTTTTAACATGATCCATTGTTAATAAGTACTTTTTATTGTTATTGAGAACTTGGAAAGGGTTTAGGAAACGAAAACATCTAGTTTCACTTTGTCAAAGCGTCAGTCTGGCGAAAAACAAGTGAATTAGTTCTTGCGGTCTTGCATTAACAAAACAATCTAAATGGACTCAGTATAAATATCATAACTCAAAAATTGTAATATTGCATTCAAATAAAAAGCTGCACATTCAGAAATTTATGGAATCTGCTCTTGACCTGTATATGATAAGATAGCTATGCTGATTTGCTTTCATATGTTTAGTGTATAATTTTTTTCGTCAAAATGTGTTTTTCTCACCACCATCGTCATTTCTAACCCTTGTAATGCATACTTATGCTCATAATTAATCCTTGTTTCATGTTGGAATGTATTCCTTATTCAATTTCCTTCAATTTGATATATCATATGTTACGTTTTGAGTGATGGTTATGCTTATATGAATTTATTTTGTACATCACCTGTGTAGCCAAATCGTGTCAAAAGTTAATTACGTCTAGACTCCAAAACAACTTAAGTCGAACCTGTGTAAGACAGAATCGCAAGGGAGCCAGAAAAAAATCCGTCTTAGACAGGGGAATTTAAGGGGAGATGGAGGTGGGGGGGTGTTCAAAGGCCCAGCCGGTGGGATCAAGGATCGCTTGTCCGATCGGCAAGCAGTGGTCAAAACTTCACACCTCTCAGCTGCTTTCCTCTCTGATAATGACATGTGTCAGTCTTACTTATCCAATTACCACCAGTGGTTGCCTTTCATAGGACCACTGTTTGACCTATGAAAACAGGAACGTTTGAACGTTTCCTTTGCTTCCACCCTTAGCCCCACCCACTAATGCCACCCCTCACTGCCATCATGTAACAACGATTTGAGGAACTCTTTTCTCGGCTGACATTGGTCAATCTAATTTCACACCTCTGGCTTTCGGCTACCCAAGAAAGTTTCTGTAGTGGCTCGCAACTCGAGCACTCTCACAGGCAGTCGTGAGATTTCACACCCACACTACACTGACCATCTGCATCACTCAGGGCTCACATGATGGGATAACATCTACCCCCAAATTGCACCCCTGCTCCCCTTCCTCGCCCAGCGGCATGGCCATAGAGTTAAGTTTAGAGCCGTCGAAACCAAACTTGCGAGTTTTGTTTCAAATCAGGTTGAGCGAGCAAAGCATTTTCCGTCTTAGACAGGTGAAACCCTCAGAAGGGAGCAGATTTTTCTTTCCGTTTCCGCGTTGGACAGGTTTCCGTTTTATACAGGTAATTAAAGAGGAATATATCAAAGGGGGAGCAAGGAGATTTCGTTAAGACAGGTTTCCGTTTTACACAGGTTTCCGTAATGGCAGGTTCGACAGTACGTCCGGAAAGAGTTAAAAACATTTTTATAAAACAAAATCAGAATCAAAATAATACCCTAGTAAGATCTGATATATTGCCATCATGAGTCTGGAAGAACCAAAATAATTATCATCATCTTCAAGTCACAAAAATATCATACAGATGTTTATCAATCATAATATCCACAGGTTAAACATAGGGTGTGGAGCTTCTATTTCTGCAGTATTTCTTTCCATCAAAGCATTATTATCACCTCAAACAAAGACAAACAAAAAAATGAAAGTGGAATTTATAAATCAAACATCTACAAAACAACAGGAAAATCATACAAATCATTTGGAGAGAGATCTTTCTCATATCTTTGTCCATTTATGTGGAACAGATACCCATGGAACTAAGACCAACAAGAATACTTGATAGCTTCAAAAGACATCTAAAGCATTTTCTGTTCCTACAGGCCTATCCTTCATAAGCTTTTAGCATTATTTTTATTATAGTTGTTCTGTGCCTACGTCTGAATGAAAATAGTCTGTGCGTATGTGTGTGTATGCATAAATATATATAATAATAATAATAACAATAATTGCAGTTCTATAGCGCATTTCCATGCTCAAGAGCATGCTCTGTGCGCTTTATAACCATTATTACTCCAGCAGACCCTCTGAGAACACTCTGAAACATTCTCGGCTTCCGCGGAAACATACAGAGCAAGCTGCAGATTTCACGCGCTCAAACACTATCAAACTGACAAGATCGTTCACTGTCTATAGCCGGGTACCCATTTCCACCTGGGTGAAGTGAGGAAAATTTGTGCAAAGTGCCTTTCCCATGGACACAACGTCGGGCCCCTGACGGGATTCGAACCCACGACCTTACGGTTGCGAGTCCGAGGGCCTAACCACAAGGCCACCGACGCCACAATTGCATGAGAAGAAATGAAGTACCAGTAGTAAGAAAGGTTTTTGAAAATGGATATTCCAATGTAAAGCGTATTGAGCTACTTTTTTTTTTAATGCGCTGTATACATGTTATATATTATTATCATTATTATTAACAGAGCATTTCCTATCTATGTATTAAAATCTCTGAAAACAAATACCTAATCAAAATTACAACTGAACCTGTTCTACAGACCACCTGTCCATACAAACAACCACTTCCAATCTCTGTCCCCCTCCCCCTCATTTTTCTATACATAACGACACTGTCCAAGAGGACAACCTCCATAAGATGACCATTTTTCTCCTTGTTAAAGGCTGATCATCTTGGAAAGATTCAAAATAAAGTATGACATGGTCTTTTTCATGTAAATTTTTATTTCCATTTATGACGTCTTCCAGGCAGTGCCACTGCAAAAGCACACATTTCACAAAACCACTTTATAGCCTCAAAGGACCCACAAACTGAGCTATTCAAATAGATTTGCACAAGTCCAATAAAATACAACTTCAACAGCAATGCTATTTGGCCATTCCAGCATCACTACTGGTCTCATTTTAATGTGCTTCTAAAGTAAAACTTTACTGATGGGACAGATATATGAAGAGCTTTACATACCCGAATTAACTCATCTATTCTTGTGTCTTTCTGTTCCATATCTGACATAGACTGGCTCTCCATTGCCTGGAGGTGGGCCATGGAAAAATCCGTCTGAAACAATTGAACAGGATCATCAATACACATTGGGCTTGAAATTCACAAAATATAAGCAATAGAGATAATCCATCACAACGTGTCAAACAATAAGCTTGTCCCTTAATCTATTTGCACTGTCATAAAGGCCCATGATAAAAATACACAAGTCACTGGGTTTTTTAAATAATATCCCTCCTGGCCAAGAAAAACAGCGCTTTGCGTCTGAATTTTGGGAAACATTACATTTCATCCACATACCACGATAAAAAAAAAAGTGCAGAAAACTGGTGAACATTGTTCTAAAACTTCTTTGATGCATTTAAGTTACTTTTAGAGTTCCAAAACATTTTGCAAGATCATCGTCTTGAAAAATCTGAGATAGAAGCAGTTTTTCAGATCCACTGATCATGACAAAAATAGTGAACTGAATTATCATTCCTCCCTAAGCCTGAAATTTATTCCACGAAAGAGAATAATAATATGTCCTTAAATAAACCATGAACGTGCCTGCTTCCTCTTAGTCAACATTTCAAACAGACCATTTGTTTTGAACATACAATACTCACACACTTAGGATTTTACTTACTTGAACACATTTTGAGCAGGCATTTATACCAATACTGAGAGTCAAAGATGTTCGATTAGGCAAGCTGAATATGTCGGCAACAGAGTTGGAAGAATTGCTTGGAGAGTGGGGAACAATATTCTGTGAAAAGTAAATAACAAAATTTGCACATACCATGAGAATGACAACAGCTTCAGCACTAATAGACACATAAAAATATAAAAACAAAGCTTTGCCTATAAGACATGGGCTCAAAGAATAAAAACACATTCTTTACAAACAGATACATGTTTAAGCATCAATGCAAAGACTTTCAACCTTAATTTAAACACCACTTCTTCTTCTTCAACTGTGTTCAGACATCAGACCAAGGAGGTAATCAATTGTAGGCTCTTCAAACTACAGAGCAACAGACTTGTTTCTTTACAACCTATGTGCATGTCAAAGATGAAAAATGGGCACTCAAGGTATACTTATCAGAAAAGATCTGCCATTTAGGCAAGTCCCTCTTTCCTGACATGGCCGAACATGCCAAAGGCACTGCTCAGGTCAACAGTAATAGGAAGGATGCTCCATAATTCTTAACACCTTATGATCTCATTATGGAATTATTACAACTCGTTATGACACAAATAGAGGCAGCATTGAGTGAAGAAACATATAGAACGAGAAAAAGGAAAAGATGACAAGCTTGTTGATAAGAGGTATGTCACCATCACTATTTCAGAGGATAAATTACAACGTCTATAACCTTATTTGTTCAATACTTTCCAGTAAAATGTTGGCTACAAATAACTGTCAGTGAAACATTTATAAGTAATGTCTCTGTGACCTTATTGGCTTATAATCAAAAATACTCACTGCATCCCTCCTTTCTCCTATTCAAAAAAAAAAATGTATGACCCAGAGAAAGGTGGGAACCAGTCAAGTTGCAGAATTTTTCTCTTGATACCATACAAATCCTACCAGTATGCTGTTATACATGTTTTCAGCAACTGAAAAATGCACTCTTTTTCACATTTGTCATACCAGGATTAATGACAGGAGAATACACTCACACCAAAAGCTTGTGGTGAAGGGGACTTCGCTCCACTTGCATTCTGTGGCTGACCTGTCCTACTTGGAGACTGGTTTTGCTGAAAATGACAAGTTACAAAAATGAGACCAGAAGGCAATATAATGGCCCAAAACAGACAGAGCTGGAGATCCTTTGTTGCTGCCCTAAACGCCAGAAGGCGTAATGGGTAGTAAGTAAGTAAGTATGATCTGGTCTGTTTTAATGTTTTGTTTTATACTGCCCCTGCCCAAATGCTGCCATCTGAATAGTAAAACGTTGTGCTTATGATCAGGTTAGTTTTGTAGATGGTAGACAGTACATTTTCTTTTTCTAGTTATGATTCCGTTTCTTCTGCAAGACAGTCTGAAATTCTACATATCAAGAGGAAGTTCAAGAAAGTAATCAGAATTGTACAAAGAACATCACCATGACATTGTTTACATTATTGTTTACATAATAGTGAGTACAGTTGCATGCATGTTCATGATGAGGTCATGGCATAGATGTGAAAAAGAACATAATTCCTGATAATAGAGTGATCCTTATCAAAGAATGTACCTCAAACTAATTAAAAACATTTCAAGACATCTTTCACTATTACAGAAAGTTTGTCATATAAGCGAACTTGACAAAGGTAATCAACCACTAAACCGAGCGCCACCCTTTGTCCTTGGGAATCTAAAATTGAGCTAATAGAAGCACATATTGAACTCGCATTACAAAGGAATTAAAGGGAAATGTTTCCATGCACATAATGACCATATATATAACCCTCAATGTGCATGTATTTTAAATAGAAAAGTTGTTGAGCTGGAACAGATTGGTTCTCTCATATTCATAACTGCATCAATGTTGACAGATTTCCTCTTCGCTTGCTTACAACTGAACAGGTGATTCTGAGTGTAACAGAAGCATACCGTCTAAATAATGAATGGCAGTACACTTGTCAACAAAATTAACATAAATAGGTACAATGAAGGTAAAATAAATATTACACTGGTGGTACTATTTAACTCTTTATCTCCGAGGGGGGTAAACCCACTATGCCGTGGCCCTTTATTTAGTGCAAAATCTAAAAATGACAAAAACATAATTAAATGGGTCATTAAATCGAAACTAGCAAACCTATTTTGATAGTTCTTCATCTAATGAATGAACTTCTGGTATAAGAGACTTGTTTCCGGCAATTGCCGAAAAGTAATTTGATGTCGAAGTCGCCGTAAAGGAATGCGCCCGAGCCGGCTCACCCGCACAGTGGTTCCGACCGCGAGAGGCTTGCCGGAGATAAAGAGTTAAATGGCAACAAGAAAAACAGCCCATTAGACTTTCTTAAAGAGCAAAGCTTTAATAATATTTTTAAACAAAAAATTGAAGTACAAAATATTGGTAGTGTTCACAAAAATACCCTCAGAAAGAAGTGTGTAAGATAATAGAAAAAAAAAGCATACCTTGAAATACTCGTTAATCTTTTTTCCATTAGTCTCTGCTCTTTTGGCAGCTGAAAAGATATTTCAAATGCATTAAATTAAAAACACAATAAATAACTTCCACGCAAACAATTACGTGAGTTTTGTCACATTTTGTATTATTCTAATTATTACGATAACGTCCATATTTTGCCATGAACAAAGAGACAAGGAATAGTGCACAGCTTGTCTAAACAAAACCTGAAAAGCACACCATAAATAAAGCAACATTATATGCTGAAAGGCACTAACCCTTGCCTAAAACCTGTCATAGCTTCACAAGCATTGACAAAGTCAAAATCTGAAGCAGAAAATAAGAATGTAAGAATGTAGTATGCCAAGAGTAATACTATGCTTGAGTATCAAAAGAAATAAGAATAGTATCTGTAAAATTAAAATCTAAGGCATCTCTATATAATGGAGCACTTTCCTTTGTACTAGATAGCCCGAAGAAAGTACCATGAACACATTTTAACACTTTGCCGCCTCATCTTGTCAATCGGCGATTTTACCACCCAGTTTCTTTGGATTTCTCCCAAAATGCCTTTGCCTTTGATAGCAAGAGTTTTTAAAGTGGTAAAGGATAGTGAAACTAACAACATTTAAAATAAAAAAAACACTTTCCAAAAAACTTTGTAAAACTGGGGGGGTTGACAAAATTGCATCTAAAGAAATACAAATAAATTTGGAAACAATCTCTGTTCATCATACACTTTAATTGTGAATAACCTGTGGTAATATGAAAACTTAGATCATAAACATCACTTACCAACAGGATTTTCTACCACGGGAGCTTTCCTTTTCCTTTTCTTATCACCTGCTGCTTTCCCTTTATCTGGTGTTGCCATTTGACCCTTCAGAAAATTGAAAAAAACAACAAAAAACAATACAATGAATGAATTTTTACATACAATTGTCCGACAACTATCAAAACAAGGAGAAATATAATATTTTGAAAAACATCTCATAAAGATAATATTAAGGTCGGTTGTGTATTAGTATTAGAGACCTAAAGATCGGGCGAAAAATATTACATGTTTATTTGCACTCCACGAAGACTCTACTCTGAGACTAACATAAAACAACGTCTTTTCAGAAAAGATATCAAAATCAAACATTATACCCACAAATACAGTTAACTTCTTAGCATGTTTTCATAAGGAAAAATTATTGCATAAAATTTCGAGTCTCCAGAAATTCTACAACTCACTCTGCTTCTCCAGACTAAAACCTACCTTATGAGGTAATTTCCCATTCAAACCAAATAAAAAGGTGTGCCCAGTAGTTTAAATTTCATTAAATAACAAGAAGTAGGCACTCAGCAAAAGTAATTTTTTTAAATAGAGAAAATAGTAAAGCTTCATAGATTGCGAGCAAAATATCACTAAAAAGAAAAAGATGTGCTATAGAAATCACAACACCAGTATCAAGATGAATGTTCTATCAAGGAATTTTACAGGGCAAACTGCTATATACCAGTAAGAATTGACCAGCACACAGGTACAGGGTGATCCAAAAAAAAATAATCAACTGTACAATTTTTTTCTCTAAATATCTCGCACAAAATTTGTACTAGACTCTTGTAATTTGGAACAGATATAATTTATTCAACAAAAGGAATTTGTTTGACATAAAATTCAGAAAGAAGAAACTTATTTTCGAAAACGGAAATGGCTTGTATAAAAACCACCTACAAATGCAAAATGCACCAATTTAAAAGATCTTGTAGGAAGTCATGAAATTATTGGTCCGTCTTTTTCCTTTCCTTTTATTTTAAAAATATAATCTTTCCATCCCTGATAACTTTAAACAATACTTCCATTCTCCTACAGAGTTATAATAATATTTTTTAAAGTCTGTAATTCCAAGAACCAATGGTCTATATTATGTCCTCCTTTGGACTCGAAACATTTTAACGCGCCGTTCGTAATGTTCAGTGATGGTCTAACATAAGGACCCACTCAACCATGAGTACTCAAAGCCACACACACTGTACACCTTACAGTACGGAGTTGTTTCTAGAGACAATTGGGGGTTGGATGAGGTTGTCCAAACAGACAGCATTTGTGGAGTTGATATAACCTGAAAGGTGAAGGTTTTGCCAAGGAACCAAATGTCATAGAGGAAAAGGTCACGCTTTTCAAGACGATCGAAGAATCATGAACACATTGCTATCCTCTCATAGCTTCACGAACGGGAAAATGGTACAGTCGTAGATGAAGATCTGCCATGAGAATGCGGACCGTTGAGATGTAAGAAAGTCATTGCTGCAGACATTGTCTACGGACATTGAAATTTAGTGCTTTTAGAGGGTAGAAAATAGCATTTGGGAGCCTGTTTGAAGATATTGCCTACAGCCCATAATATTTATTTTTTCACCAACATTTTGTCTTGTTTCACTTCATCACCAGCATATCTTTCCAATGCTGGAAATGTTTAAAAGCAGGTTCTTCTTTCATTGCTACTATAATTCAATTGGGATTCGAATTCAATTAATTTGTAGTCGCACCATTGACAGCAGGCAAACCTGGGAATAATGAATAGATGTACCTCCAAAATACGGTTGCGCAGCGTATACCCACATTTTTTCTAAATTTTCATGTCTGAAAGTCGCCAATCACAACCTCGGAACACCACTTCGAATTATTCTTGATTTTATACGTGGTGCTCACTATGGACGGGATCGGGCGATCGGCGATCGCCCGACTCGATCGTCTCAAAAACAAACGTGTTTGTTTTCAGTTTCAAAGCAAACACGGTTGTTCTACTGAATCGGGCGATCAGCGCAATCAGCCGATCCCATCCGTAGTGGGCACGACCGTATCAGCATATATTTCTTTCATCGCGGCCCTTATATTGCGTTCACGTGACGTAGAATCTTCGCATTGATAATTTTTCTAGATCTAGATAAAATTTGCGAAAAAAGTTTCTTCCTGACAGTAATTTTCTGTCTAAGATCAAAATCAGTCTTGATCAACGCGCAGATTTTCTAGCAGCGGCAACAATCCGAAGATAGACAGAAGGAATGAGTGAATGACAAAAAGGAGGAAGTTGGCACAAAAGGCGCCAGATTTTGATCCATCTGCAGGTAAAAAATGTACTGCCGACCAACACGCAATGAATGCATGGGACTGGGACATAGTGGTATAATGTCCGATTGCAGAAAATGTGCAATTTGGTAGGTTTCTATAACGTTAACTTGTTGCCGAGAAAATTACCGTAAATATCCGTACCTTATACAAGACTATACGAAGGCGAGTACGAAATTTCAGCAGTCCTGCACTGTCGCAGTTTTTTTAACGGAGGGAGTAGATGATGATAGAGGGACAAGTACGGAACTGGCAGAAAGTATGGATTTCCGTAAAAATACAGAAGAGTGGAAGCACTGTATATGGTGGAACGACCGAGGAAAGGAAGCCATCCAACAGAAGAAAAAGGCATTCAAAAAGTGGCAGAAATCAAAGACAGAGGAAAATTACATCCCATACAGAAAGGAACGCCGCCAAACAACAAGGATAGTAAAAGAAACCAAGAACAGATCCTGGACAGTATATGGAGAACAGCTGGCAACAAAATGTAAAGAAAACCCCAGAGAGTTTTACAAGAGCGTTTAAAGCATGAGGATGCGGGAAGAACCATTCAACTCAACTGAAATAGTCAATGATGAGAACGGAAACCCTATTTTCAGTAAGCTGAAGCTTACAGAAAGATGGAAACGCTATTTCCAGGAGCTGCTGAATCCTACAGGAGAAACAACACCAAACAGCTTCTCACCAAAAGAAACCACTCCAGAACCATCACTACTGCTGAGTGAAACCAAACATGATATAAAGAAAAGCCTCAAATACAAAGCGCCAGACCTTGATAACATCACAGCAGAAGAGATCAAGCAATGCGGCCATATCCAGGAACTCTGGCTATGGAGGATATTCAAGCTGGCCTGGGCGACAAAAACAACACCCGATGACTGGCAACGAGCTGCCATTGTACCCATTTGGAAAAAGAAAGATAACAAAAGAGACTGCGGAACCTTCAGAGGAATATCCCTTCTCAGTCATGTGGACAAAATGTTTGCCAAGACACTGGAAATGAGAATGAGACAAATTGTAGAGACTTAACTCAGTGAATCCAAGTTTGGCTTCAGAAAAGGCAGGGGCTGTACTGACGCAATTTTCGCATTAAGACTGTTGTGTGAGACTGCCATTGCACATGACAAAGACCTCAATATCATCTTCGTGGATCAGGAAAAGGCGTTCAACCGGGTAGATAGATGTCAACTTTGGGAAGGCTTAGAGGAATATGGTGTAAGAGCACAATTGCTGGAGGACATCATGGCACTTTATAAAAACAGCCTGTGCGCCGTAAGACCAACAGAAGGACTATCGTACTGATTCTCTATCAGGTCTGGGGTGAGACAACAGAGTGTTTTCTCTCCGCTTCTCTTCATCACTTACATGGATAAGATCAAGAAAGCAGCAAATGACATCATCACTGAACTGAACGAGTTTCTATTTGCTGATGACCGGAGTATATTAAATACAGATGAAGAGGAATTACAAAAACACACCACAAAATTAAATGAGGAATGTAAACACCTGAACATGAAAATCTCCATCTCAAAAACAGAAGTTATGAAGGTCAGCAGAAACCCAAGGAAACTCAACATTCTTATTGATGGAACACAACTCCAACAAGCAGAGGAAATTAAATATTTAGAAAGCATCTTCACACAAGATGGGTGTATGGACAAAGAAATAGAAACATGAACTATGAAGGCGAATGCAGTGACCGTGACATACCAGCTAGCACCCCTGCTCAGCCACAAGAACATCCTAACCGAAGTGAAATCCCAGCTCATCAACAGCATCTTCATACCAACATTAACATACCAGTGCCAAATATGATCTCGAAACAAGGAACAAGAGAGAAAAATCGATGCATGCAAAATGAGGTGTCTCCGCAAAACCATCAACATCACCAGAAGAGAATGCATAAGAAACGAAACCATACGTCTACAAACTGGAATACCACCAATAATAAAATTCATAGAGCGTCAAAGAGTCAAATGGTTTGGACATCTAACCAGAATGCCCCAGAAACAACAAGCGGTTAGAGCTTACAACACCCGAGAATCCAGCTTTAAATCAAGAGGAAGACCAAGAAAGACCTGGCTGGATGGGGTTAAAAAGCTCCTGGAACAACATAACATATCTATCACAGACACTATACAACTAGCACAGGACCAAAACTTGCACCTCCCCTCGACATCCTAAGGATACCAGAGGAAGGAAAAAGTAAAAGTAAAGTATCTTCTTAGCACACATTTACCCAGATAGCCACATGATAAATACAAAATTCATCATCTACGGAGGCAAAACCATACCAACAACTACAACAAAAGTTGAATACCAACAACTACAACAAAAGTTGAATACCAACAACTACAACAAAAGTTGAATGCCAACAACTACAACAAAAGTTTTCTTTTGTATACAGGGGGGGGGGGTTGTTCAAAAAATACCAACAACTACAACAAAAGTTTTCTTTCGTAGAGGGGTCTTTCTTTGTTCAAGAAATGTCAGCAAATCCACTTACCTCCCCAACCTCCTTGTCCACTGAACCACTACTGCTGACATTGCTATTTTCCTGTTGTTGTTCTGCAGCAGGTTGAGGCATCACCAAAGGCTGGAACTGGTTGAAAAGGGATAAACACAGTTCAGACATTGCAAATGATCATATCATTTTAAACAAGGTGAACATGGCACAGACATTAAAAAGGACTGAAATATTGTATGTAAACTTGTATTTCGAAGCAATTACTAATTTTAAAGATTTGCTGAAATACAGTACCTGATTTGGCACAATGTAATTAATTTTGAAGGAGATGCATTAAGTCTGCTGTTCCAATACCGTGCTGAGATAAAATATTCAACGACACTCCGATTTTAACCTTACACTACATCATGACAGTGCTTAGTCTGTTGTAATATACAGCATCACAAATGACAGCTCATCTTAAGTATGAAAATAAAATTATAAGGCTCTTCAAGGAATAAAGAGGCATAAAACATTAATTATATCATGAATCAAAAGAGGAACAAGAATTATCACAAAATTTGGACACCTAGCCAAAATTACATGAGCTCAAAAACATGCAAAGAAGAAAAGGTATTCACAACCAACACAAAATACCATGCAAGTTAAGAGAAGGCTTGCCCACTTTTTAAAAACCCAATCAGGAGCACCCAATCTAACAACATAATTGAAAACGTATACTTTAACACACACACATCTATTTTTAATTTTCAAATATAAAAACATCACTTCAGTGCCTGTGTTTTTCATAGATCCCAACGGGCATGTGTGTTGGATGTTACATTCTTAGGGAGGGAAAGTAGAAGACTTGATTGCAAACATGAAGCCATTTCAAACCTACTTTCACACACTAGATTCTAAATGATATCATCTTCATCAACTACCATAACTGACTAATGTAGAGAGGTTAGTTTTTGTGGCTGTATGAGTGATCTGTAGCAAAAAATGCTGCAGTTTGACTTTTTAAAAACTATGCCTATGCATCTCTGTGCGCAGGAGTGAAAGTAAAAATTTACAAAAATATGCTCCTTAGAATCACAATAACATCAACACCCAGCCAAATCAGTAATCAACAATTCAACCTGTATGGAAACCTCTCAAAACTGCTGAATAAGGGGGGAAAATGTACTGATGGCTCATAAACAAACAATGTAATTTTCTTTCCCATTCACTTGAAATTAGTGACATCAGTGGCCTGGTGGGAAACATGCTAAAACATACCCGGCCTCCAAGTAAACGTGCTTCTAGTAATTCTTGCTTTCGGCGATCCACATGGATGTTTTCCATAACACCTGAAAACAATAGATCATTAGAATATGTAAATGCAAATACATGTATAAATTATAAGCGAACGAAAGATTAAGTCTCGAGTCCCACAAAAGGCAAAAATCTGTATCGTAACTCTCAAGATGGCTCAATAAAGAAAGTCTTTCTTTTCTTTCACTTTCAAATACTCCATCTCTAGGCACAGATCTAGTAGTAACATTCTAAAAACCAGTCAAACTCTCGGAAAGTGGAAGGTCTACACGTATCTTATATTTTCTTAAAATGGTTTTTAAGAATTTAGAGTTCTAAATATCCACAAAATTCTTTGGTGATAGATTTGATTTAAACAATATATACCATCCATACGAAAAGGCTAGAGAACGTCGATACAGCACTCTTAACTGAAGAAAGCCTGTATCAAAGACAATTTTGTCAGTACCGAAAGCCAACAACTACTAAAAATACTTCTGCCTATTATTAGTAATCTTAGGTGTGCAGCACAGGGAAGGTCTACTTGATCTTTGTTGATTCTAACTTCTAAGTGTCTATTTAATTTAGATAAAAAGACAAAAAGAAATCAAGGAATGCATCATGATCCACTATACTTTCCTAGAGATTTAATTATTTTAAAAGCAAATGAACATCCTTACTAAATCTACTAGATCTATCATAATTATTTCTCAGATGGACATGATGGACTCTGCTTTCCTGACTTGACCATCAATCAAAGACCAGACCCCAAGTCCCAAGGCCAAGAGGACTCAAAACAAAAATCCAATTGTGATTGAACTCCCTTACCCTAGATCAAGAAAACAGATGTGGCAATCCCTTGACATTCATTTAATAACCCAAAACGTAGTTAAACCATGATCTACGAGATCAGGTAGATCATAGCATGAAGTCCAGTCTTGATTTGAGTGATGACTGTGTGTAAAATTTTCCATCCCCATTCCTGATCAGCACCAATGTATCAGTGGTGTGTTCCGATTCGAGACTGGTTTCTTGAGAAACATCAAAGTAAACAAAAACATCGTTTCTAAACTGTAATTGCAAGATGGCATCATTCCCCTGATATTCAATAGCAAGAGATTTATACGTAGGCGTTCTCTACTGATAATCTTATAATTACCTTCCCTGGAAGCAGAGTGGCGCACTAAATGTGGAGATTGACTGCTGTGAGAACCTGCTGCTGTCCAAGATGGCGGTCCCCCACTGCCACAAGACATTACACGATTAAGAAATGTTTATGGGGCCTATGCCCCTCGTTCCGTGTCAGAATAATTGCACATTCATTGGTGAGTGTGCTCCATACCACTGGCAAACCGTAATGTCTGCGGATAATTTGCAGCGGCTCAATAACGAGACCAGGGTGTCCTTGTACTTGATCCCAACTTTTGTTGATGCTCACCCGTATGACGTCACACCGATTGTCACCACGAGTTTTAATCGAGATGTCACTTAAATGGCTTGATTTTCCTTTGCATCTGGCATCTGTCGTCGAACAAATTGGCAGAAGATACTGATAAACAAGGCACAATGAATGCAAAAAGCCCTAAACTGCAGTTTTTTTAAAGATTGTAATCGGGTTACATCGGTCGTTTCCGGTTGGGGATACCCTACGAGCGGAAGGGATTCCCGCTTAATGAGGCGCCGGAAACCTGGGTATCCCAAAATATTTTGGGCGATTTCTTAGCCACTGAGCAGAGTCGGCTATTGGCTACAACATGATTGTTTTTCTAATGACTTTGCTTTGCCTCGTCTGTTTCAGTTGAAAATAGTAATTTGTATTGTAATCGTTATAAAATAAGTTTCATAAGTTTAAACCATAACAGTGTCGTTTCAGATGTCCTTCTTTCAGAATATTTTAAATAATAAAATAATTAAACGTTTTTTTTAAAAACAGAAACACATCTCGGCACATCTCGGTCGTTGTTAATTTTGTGCAGTCGGTGAAATTATCCTAATTCTTCAACGACTCTTGGTTCTTTTTCTTGTTGTTTTGTTTTAGGGGGATTTTGTTGTTGTTGTTGTTCTTTTTTTCAAATAGTAATGGCGGGATGAGTTTGACGATTGAATTATTTTTCTTTTATAAAATTATTTATCTAATTGGTTGGGGTTTTTATAGTGATAATTTGATCACGAGCTT